AAACAATAACAAGATCAACTGGGCTCTCAAAGATAAACAAGAGTTCATTGATATTGTTGAGACAGTGTACCGTGGTGCGAGAAAGGGTCGTGGTCTAGTTATTGCACCTAAAGATTACTCTACCAAGTATCGTTACTGAGTGTCTGTGATATTGTACTGAACTATAAGATACTTTATGATTAAACTGAATCAGCTGTCAAGTGTACAATAACTTTCCATTAGTTGCAAGTGGAAAGACCTCTAGTCTTCTTCAAACCATGTTATGATAAATTATATTGACTGTTTTGAAATTGTGCTTTTGTGGTTTCGGCTTCAGCATGTGCTAGGTGCCATAAGTGAACGAGTTGATTAAGGAGAGGATTTAACTATTCAGGTAGCTTTTAGTTTCTCTACTCTTTACAACGATTTCCATTACTTCTGCTAACGCTACGCGAGACTATGTAGAATAAGCATTTTGCAACTCCAATTTCTATAATGGGATAAAGTCGGATCAGGATATCAGGTAATGGAAGGGTTGAACCTTGTTTTGGTTAGCGTCTAACTTCTTAGTATGCATATGTGTGGTTGAGCGCATTCTATGTTTTTCTTAATGTTTTACCTCGTAAATATGTAAAGTGGAATACAAGGCAATCTCATAGGTGAAGCTTTGTTTTTCTATAAGCAGACTTTGAGGCCCTTGGGACAGAAACAGATTAGGCCATATACTAACTTTACATTAATATATATATATAATATATAGTAACTTTACATTTATGTTGCAAGATTTATCTGCTTGCACTTATCTTCCGCAATGAAAATGTTCACTTTTTTCTGTCCTTCCCAAACAAACTTTGAAGAGAGCCCGCAAGTTCCACTAGAGCCATACCAATCATATACCATGTAGCACCTGCAAGAATGACCTTCAGCCATGAGCTGTTGACAATGTCTAATGCGAGAGAACCACCAATATGATCGTTGAGTCTAACAGTCGCTTCTTCTCCAAGTTTTATCCAAACTATAGTTGCTGCTGCTGTTGCTGTTGCGAATGGCACTCTCCAGAGCCAGGGATTGCCTTGAAGTTTGTCCTTAGGTGAGAAAGCTTCATCATAGAATTCTACCGGTGTTTGGGGAGAGGAAGCATTCGAGGAAACTTCATCCACCAAATTAGTGTTTGTGGCTTCTGGAAGTGCAGGGGTTGATGGAGACCAATACTCATCGTTGCACCTTTGATCAACTGTTGCCTTGGCTTGTTTCATAGCTGCTGCAGTAGCTCTGAGCTTCTTAATGTCGGGTTCAATTAGCCTTCTCCTAACTGGTACCAAAGCCTGGACAGCTTCTGCAGTTCCTATAATAGGTGATTGCCAGTAGAACCAATTTGACATTGCTCGGATTGCTTGAAATGCTGACATTCGTGCTTCTTTTTGCACATCTGAAGCCTGAAATATAGTAAGAGTTGTATGTCAAACGGATGCTACCCTGATTGGCCATGTCACCGGCTAAATCGCTATCACATTTGACTTGTAGAAAGAACATTTGTGCTAATATATTCAGAACAAGGGTTACCTTAGGGTTGGTTTTGGAAGCTTTATTCAAGGCATCTTGATATCTGCTTTGAAATTTTTCTAGATCATCAAATATATTCGAGGTGCGAGCACCAACAGTATTGCCAGCCCCAATTCTAACACTGCCTCGCGGCTTCTTGGACATTAGGAATTCAAGTGCAGCCAAGTTTGACCTCTCAACAACCCTATGAGAACATGTCAGAAAGAAGAAGTAAGCAATTAACTATCAATGTTTGAACTCCCAATTAGTAAATAGTCTTACGAGATGCAATCAACTGGACATGCATCTATAGCTTCTTGAATTTTGGGTTCAGTATCAGCCCACTGAGCAACTACTCTGGCTCTTCCATACACAGATTCAACAGCAAATGTCTTTTCTGCGAATAAAGCACATTTTAGGCAACCTACACACTTGACTTCATCAACAAACACAGCTCTTTCTTCGTTCTCTGGACCACACCATGCTGAATATAAAGGTTTTCCTGTGTACCCCCTTAAGTCTGCAATTTTTGTCAGTTCCTGCATTATTTGATTACAACAGAAACATCAAAAAAGGAAGAGATTAACTGTTTTATCTTCTATGTGCTTAGGCTGATTTAAAGACCAATTTTTAGGATAATACAAGGTAACAAAGAAAGTGAGGGAAAGAAATTTTTTTCTCTTTAAGAAGATTGGCATAGTCTACCTAAGAATTATCGTGAATTCAAGATTTAAAGTCGGTGGATAGTGGATTATTAACTGTGAAGTTTCTTTTGCATATGTATACATAGTCCGAATCGGAAGCAATAGATTTAGTAGGATCCATAAAACACGTCCTAGATGGATGGAATAGCAGTGATTTTTATACAAGGTGCACAATACTAAACAATCAAAAGACTACTACTTTTTCCAGCATTTACATGGATGAACTGACCTTATCATAAGCCATACGTGCAATTGGATCAGAAAGAAGAGCATAGGCTTCATTGAGGATAATAGCCATGTCATGGCCAGATGCTCCGGCGATATCTGGGTGGCATCGCTTCTGCAGCATCCTATAGGCCAGCTTAATCTGAGCCTGGTTAGATGAACTATCAACTCCAAGAAGATCATAGAGGTCAAAGTCAGTGATTGAAGAAGAATAGGCTCTGCATATCATGAGACATTTATTTGTATTAATATTGTTGTGGGATTTCCATGAATTTGCTAGTGGAGTCCTTGGATTTGGAAGTTTGTTTATGCTTTTGTTGGGAATGGTTTGTATTGGTAGAGTTACAGAATGCATTGTTTCTGCTGGAGGGGAGAGAGGAAAAAAGTGGCAGGAAAGAGTAAGATTTTCTTTTTTTTGGCTTGGGGCAGATATTTTTTTTGTGTGGAAGATATTTGCATATTTCACATCACCAGAGAGTTTGAGAAGAGACTAGAGACTAACCGGTCAATCTATTTACTCTTGTTTTCATTTTGAAAGTTCCGTTGCTTCAGTAGATATTTAACTCGGGAAATTGTTTTACTAGTCCAATAAAAATGTGTAAAGCCTCGTATATTTTTGTACTTATTTTGAGCTAATTACGATCCTAATGAACATGTTTGGATTATTCCTAAAGTGTAAGCGGACCTATGTATAGATGGCGAGGTGGTTCCGGTATTCTGGTGTGAGTTTAGCTCGATTTAAAAACTAAATATATACTTTAGAGCATACATGATTTCTGGTAGAATTCAAAACGCAGCACAATTACATTTGCAATGTTACATTATATCGGTAAGAATAGAGCCAAAATATATAACTTTGATGGAATAAATTAACTTTTGTGAAAACAACCCCGAAGCGGTGTTTTTGATGGCTCTGATAGTTTCGTATCGTGATTTTGGACTTGGGCGTATGCTCGGAATCGAATTCGAAAGTCCGCAGGTTAATTTTACATTGGATAAGAATATCATTTACTTTTTTTTAAAAATTATTTGGTACTATGAAATCAACTAAATCCTTCTTTATTTGAACTATGCAGGAACTCATAATATCTATGATTTAAATCGACTTATATTTTACTTTATATACTAATAAAAAAACTAAATACTAATCTCACTTCTAAAATATTTTTACTTCTTCAATTTTCTTAATCATAAAATAATTCCATAAAGACTTCAAAGTTGCAATGACGAGGAAGAAGAAGCAACCGGGTCTGGCGCCGGTCTCGTCCAAAGTTCTGGTGCTGGAATCTAGGCAGATGACACCAGAATCAGGCGTTCCCCGGACCTTAGCTCCGATTCAATTAGGCCATTAACTTCCAGGAATGGGGAGTGCTCCTATAGTGCTACAAACAGGCCCCCAACCGGACATTACAGAAACTCCGCCGGAGCCTGATGCAGGGGCTACGAATGCGGCGAGGAAATTGACTTTCTCTGCCACATCTAGTGAAGTCAAGCCTACAATGACTGAAGTAGTTAAAGGAAATAGAGAGCAACACACGAGATTGAAGCTAGATTACTTTTCACCTGTAATGAAAGATGGAGTGAAGGTAGTCAAGCTAAATCCCCAGGAGATAGCTGACCAGAATCAGAAGTAGAGTCTAGCATTAATTGGTTATGTGATTGGCGGTAACTCTACCTTCAAGGAAATGCTCAAATTCGTCTATGGAATCTGGAATTTCGTCAATACACCTCAGGTATTTCTTCATAATAATGGATATTTCATCTTCAAATTTGAGAATGAGGAAGATAAAGCAGTGATTCTCCAACAAGGGCCATACACGTTCAATTATAGGCCATTCATTCTTAAACAGTGGGATCCAGAGTTCCAAATGAATAAAAAATCTACTCAAATTGTCCTATGTGGGTTATGTTTCCAAATCTACCAATTCATTTCTGGGCCCCTAGCAATTTGGGTAGAATAGCAAGTTGTCTTGGTAATCCTGTATGTACTGATAAACTAACTACTCAAGAGCAAAGGATTGCTTATGCTAGGATATTGATCGAGATGGATATATCCCAACCTTTGCCTGACTCACTCTCCCTTGAACTACCTGATGAAAAATACTACTCACAATCTATTGAGTATGAATGGAAGCCAATATACTGTCAAGATTGCTTGAAAGTAGGGCATATCACAGGGAAATGCAAGGAGGGACCAGCAGAACCTAAACAGCCTTAACAAAATAACAAAGAGAAACAAAAGAAATTGGAATGGAAAGCTAAGGATGTGCCTAATCAGATAGTGGATAATCAGACTAATGCTCAAGTAACTGAGCAGGATACTAGCAATGAGCAGCCTAAGAATGAACAAGAGGCTAAAGGGGATGGGCAACAGTAGAGGAAACAAATTGATAGGGGAAAGAAAGCAATGCTAATTACTATTGATAAGCACCAGGAGATTGATGAACTGGAACTTATGCTCAGAAGGAATCAGTTCAGTGCTTTGAGAATCCAACCAGAGGTTATCACTAACAAAATGGTAAGGGTCACTAGTCCAACCAAGCAGCCTCCATGATCTTTGGATCATGGAACATTAGAGGGCTGAATAAGCCCTACAAGCAGAAGGAATTCAAATCCTTTCTGCTTACGAATAAAGTGGCTCTTTTGGGCTGCCTTGAGACAAAAGTTAAGACTAGAAGAGCAGGGAAGATACAAAGGAAGTTAGGGGCAGAGTGGCAGGTTTACTGTGATTATGTAGGTTGTCCAAATGGAAGAATAAGGGTCTGTTGGAAACCACAACTGGTGGAAGTTGATATCCAGTTCTCAAAGCCTCGAATTGTTCACGGCAAGGTAAAAGATAAGGACTCTCAATTTGCATGCTATGTAACTTTCGTATATGGATACAACACCATAGATGGAAGGAAAGACATATGGAGACAAGTGAGATCAATCAACAGTATGATGGTAGACTCTTGGATTATTCTTGAGGATTTTAACACCATACTATCAGTTAATGACAGAATTAATGGAGCACCTGTCGCGCCCTATTTTTCTCGCGAAAAAATGGATTTTGACACATGACAACTCCTTTTAGAATGGGAGGTAAAGTGCTAAAGGAGAAGAGTCGCCACCGAACGATTTTTAAGGTGCGTTAGGGCACCTATTATGCAGATAACTCTATTTGACTAGTCAACGCCACCAAAGATCAGGTAAGGACTCAAGTTACCTCAAAGAGAAGATGTTAGGTACTCCTCGAGGTCCACAACTGTGGGTCTCGGCCGAACTTAAGATTATGTGGATTACGATTAAGCTAGGTGATCAAATAAATAAAGGGAATTTAGAAGTCAAAGAACTTTATTACAACATGATTAATACAGATCTTAGTGCGAATATAGGGATATAACTATTTATATCTAATAACAACATATAAAG